TTCTCTGTAGCCCAGGTCAGGCGCTTCTGCCGCTGTTTCTGGTTCAAGAGTGGCTTGACCTGGGGAATGCAGCACCTGTAGCCCATTTCCTGCACACGCCTGTGCACGGTGGTTATTATTGTGTCTCTGTAACAAGCTGACTCAAAACAACAAAAATGTCAACTATTTCCTGCGAGATCAATAAAGTTCTATCTTATCTTGTGGATCTTGTGTTCAGTAGTTAATGTGTCCATCCTGCTCACCCACAATAAACCTGGATTTGAGAAGAAAAAAGTTTCAGTTGTTGTAGCCAACTGAGATTTTTACTCAAATGCATTTTACTAAATGGAGAAAACTATGTTGCTATGCTGAACTCTTCTTTTAAACATCTACCAATCATACAATGTGATCAATGAAAGTTTTTGTCAGCACTACTGATTTTCCTGGTCCTAGTCCCTCCTTAGTACTGACCTGTCTGGATCCTGGCCCCTCCCTGCACCTGACCCCTCCCTGGAAGGATGATGGAAAACCTCCGGAGGCTCAGGTGCACCTCACTCTGCTGCGCACAGACGAGACGCAGCTCGTCCTCAAACATCCACACTGATTCTGCTGCGACACAGAGACAACAAAAGGACCGTCTGTTCATCTTGAATTCATGGAAACACTTTAACTGTAATTTAACGATACGCTCTGTAGAGAAAAGGTGAGTTTTATCCATTTCAACTGAATCCTTGTGTTTAATCATGTTTTATATTAACAGCAGAGCTTCAAGGCCCTCTCAGAGTAAAGGTGTATTCCTGCCATCATCTAACATCACTTAAATTAACATTTTCTAAAGAAAAATTCTAATGTCATGTTTGTGTTTAAATTATATTGTACAAAGTAGTAACATGAAGGAAAATGTTGTGAAATCTCAGTTTAGTGTGCGAGCAGGAAAACACCATATTTAATTTCTCCACAGGTAAATGAGCAGTCACCTGAGGAAGGCATGTAGTACTTGAAGTCATGTACCTGACTTGTAAAAACATAAAACTTTATAAAAGTATAGGAGTACTCATACAGAGGTATGGAAGTAAATGTATTGTACAGATATATCACCTTTCTGTCTGATCAAGATACTCAAAGCTCTTTACAACAACCTGTTCCTCATTGACCCATTCATAAAGCTCTATACTAGATCTACACAAAGATAATTGAACAAATCATTCTAAAGAGACTAATTAGAACTTTATCACATTCATACACTGATGGGACACACATCAGAGGCAATGAGGGGCTTAGTGTCTTGCCCAGGGACACTTCAGTATGTGACTGCTGGTGGAATTGAACCCCCAACCCCAATTGGAGGACGACTGCTCTAATCACTCAACCACATCTGCCTGTACTCACACAGACACTATGGGAGTACTCACACAGACACTATGGGAGTACTCACACAGACAGTATGGGAGTACTCACACAGACAGTATGGGAGTACTCACACAGACA